AGAAAGGACTTGTGTCGCTAAAGTTTCGTCGGAACGAATTTACGGAAAAATTAACTAACGACTGGAGACGTAACAATATAATAAAGAAGACTATAGGATGAAAAGGTTTTATAAATTAGCTTGTCTGAAACAACCAAGTGCTGGGAGCAAACAAATGATGCTTATATGTTTGTAAATAATGACATACTCCAATCTTTAATTAAAGTTACTTCATTAATATTATTGTTATGTTTAAAATAATTTTGAGTATTATTTATTATTATTAATTTTTACATTTTTGAAGATTAATCTGTATGGTTCATTATATAGTTTTGGCTTCATTTTGTTAGTTACTTTTTAGTTCTGGTCTATGTAGTTAGCTTATTAGCCTAATTTTAAACAGAATTTATTAATAGTTTGGATTATATGAACATAATACTCTATATCATATTACTATCACGGCATCTAGTATGATGTAGCTTTGACAATATATTAAAATATTGTCAAAGTAATTACACTAGATGAAATGTTGGTAAAACGATACTGAGATTGAGCTTAGCCATCACAAAGTTTAAAATATTTCAGACAGTTCTTGCCTTTTTTTTAAAACAATGTGATACACAAGCAGAACAAGAGTGTATTTTTATACAGTCATTCAGGTAAAGCTAATAAGAAGAAATGACTACTTAAAAGATAACACAGAGAAACTGTTCTCTTTGTATAGAGAATTCTATGAATAAGATTACAAATGATGCACGAATACACGCTAAAATAAAATATATGAGAAAAACTATTATAATATAAAATATACGTATTGAAATGTCGACGCTTGAGCTTCAGTTCTGAAAAAAAAAATGTTTCAAGAGAATATATTATCAATGAACTAATTAAAGGAACACTGATTATGCCTGGTGAGTTTTTATCTGTATACAAAATAATACAAAAAGGAGTAAGTTAAACAATTGTAAGTTTTATTTAACAAATGGCTCTGTTTTTTCTTTAATTTGTTTGTTTTTAAGCGCAAAACTATACAACAGGCTATTTGTGTTCTGCCCACCGTGAGTATCAAAACCCTATATTTGGCGTTATAAACCCTCAGATTCACCGCGTAGATTTTCTTTACACACTTACGAATTCACAGGGATTTTCCTTGTAAAACTTTGAAATAGGAGTCTATACAAATGTTATTTCTAGAGGTAATTCAGTCTGTTATATTTGTGTGATCCAAAATATTGTTATGACAGCGGGGGTCACGTGACGCTGGTAACACTTCATATTCTCGAAAGTTGGGGAATGCTCGAGTGTTTACTAGATATGCGGTATTCATCTATATAAGACCGCCAAAAAGTGACGGCAACAATGGAAGGTAGTTGAATTGCAG